AGGGGAGCGCTCTCTCAGCACGGGGCCTAAAACCCGGAGGAGCAGGGGCCCTTGGTGAGCAGAGCTGAAGGCAGACCAGCCTCTCATGCTTTTCACGCAATCGTTCCAGAAATACATACTGGCGACCAGCTGTGCTACAGGCACTCTGCTCAGCGCCATGGGCACAGAAGTGATGAGCTGACTGGGGTCCATGGACCAGTGGGAGAGAGAGTCCAGCAGAGCAGTGAGGACCTGCCACGTGCCAAGTGCTGAGACAGAAGGGAGTGGGAAGAGCTGGGCACACAGCCCAGGCTCCTCATCTCCTGGGAGAATCAAGCTGGGACTTCAAGTGGGGCCTTCAGTGGGAACAGAACATCATCAGGCACTGAGGTCTGAGAGGACTCTCCGTGCTCGGCTCTTTCAAAAGCCCGGACCTCCAGCCAGCACCGGCACAGGAGACTGCTGCACAGCGTCCACCCCACCTCCATCCCTGCTGGCCACGTGCCTGCCTCAGCCCTGCGCCCTCCATGGCTCCCTGGTGCTTGATTGAAAGTCCTGTTCAGGCATCTCCCTAAACCAGGGGTGTCGAACTCAATCAGAGAAGGGGCCAAAATCTAAAATCTAGCCTAAATCACGGGCCGAATCGTTTACTGAACAGTCATAAACTGACAATGTTAACCAGAAATGTGAATTTAAAATGAGTGGAACAATCTTTTCCTTAACAGTGCTGTTAACCAACTCACATGCTATCAAGCAAAACAGTAATATTGGTATCAAGCAAAACAGTAATATTGGAATGTACCTAAAATGCTCATTGTTTTGTTTTTCTGGCTAGATGTCTGACACCATTTTCCCCGGATCAATGAGTCAATGTTCGGTTTTATTTCCTGGGCTGTAGCAACCCGCAAAACAGCATGGAGGTTGTCATCGGTAATGCGTGATCTGTGCTTGTTTTTGTTCAGATTCATTATTGAAAACATCTGTTCACAAAGATAGGTGCTCCCGAACATGGATAGAATACGGGCAGCATGAAGTCGGAGCTCTGGCATTGAGTCAGGGGGCAGTAGAGGGTAGAAGTCCTCAATTTCAACATCCTGAAACCTTGATTTCAGGCCACTGTCAGACTGAAGCTCGATTATCTCCATCTGAAGGTGATGGGGCACATTGTTGACATCAACTGTAAAAGGATTGGCAAAGATGTCAAAGCCTGAGTGCTGTGTTCTAAAGTCAGAGAAGCACCGCTCAAATTCACTTAGTAAACGGCTAACTTTGGTAGCCAGCCGACTGCAAGGAAAAGTACCAGAAATAGTGGTTGAGATACTCAAACAAACGGGAAAGTGGGCAAGATTGTCCTGTTCCAGTTGGGACTTCCATAGTTGAAGTTTACGCTGGAATGCTGTGATCATGTCAGACATCTTCGTGATGACTTGTTTGCGTCCCTGCAGCTTCAGATTCAGTTGGGTGAGATGCTCGCATATGTCACACATCATAGCAAAATCACATAGCCAGGCGGGACCCGACAGTTCAGGCAAGGGCTTTCCTTTACTTTCCATGAAAAGAGCAATTTGTTCTCTGAGCTCAAAAAATCTTTTGAGGACTGCGCTCTTGCTCAGCCATCTTACTTCTGTGTGGTATGGCACGTCTCCATGCTCTGCACCCACCTCCTGTAAAAACTGCTGGAACTGGCGATGATTCAGGCCACGTGCCCGTATAAAGTTAATAGTTTTAATGACTGTGGTCATTATGTCATTCATGTCCAGAACTTTTCCACACATAGCCTCTTGGTGGATAATGCAATGATAAGTAATCAAGGGTGTGTGGCAGTGCATTCTTTTTTGCATTCTTTCCTTCATTAGTCCAACCAAGCCTTTCTTTTCTCTGCACATTGAAGGTGCGCCATCGGTAGTTAGCCCCACCAACTTTTCCCAGGGTAATTTAAAATTATTTATAGATTTCTCCACAGCCTCAAATATATCTCTACCAGTCGTCGTCCCATGCATGGCAGCTACATCCAAAAGTTCCTCAGTGACAGAGAGGTCGGTCTTCGTAGCACGTATAAAGATGGACAGCTGCGCTGTATCAGTGTTGTCTGTGCTTTCATCGATAGCAAGTGAAAAAGCGAGATAACTGCATGCCTGTTCGGCCAGCTGTGATGATAGATTTCCTGAGAGTTCTTGAACTCTATCTGCAATGGTGTTTCTTGACAAACTGACATTTTGAAAACTCTGTATCTGATCTGGGCATACTTGCTCACACACTTTTAGCATGCATTGCTTCAAAAAGGCACCCTCTGAAAAACACCTTGAAGTACGGGCAATTTCTTCAGCCACTATAAAGCTTGCTTTCACTGCAGCATCATTTTTCGCTGTAGCCTTTGTAAACATTTGCTGCTGTGATTGTAGTTTGCCTTTTAGTTCTTTAACAATTTTATGCTTTTCTTCCAAAGTATATTTGCCATACTTAACATTATGTTTGGTGTCAAAATGACGACGTATATTGTACTCTTTCATCACCGACACTGTCTCATAACACAATATACACACTGGTTTGCCCTCTCTAAGCACAAACATGTATTCATTTTCCCATTTGTCATTAAATTGTCTGCCTTCACCGTCAACTTTTCTTTTCCTGGACATTTTGGGATCAATATTGGCAGTAAAAGATGTAGTTTATTGGAAATCTGCGTTAGAAGGAAAAAGTTGAAAACTGCACAGGGATAGCTTGATTTGGCAGATGGAGTGGAGAAAAAAAAGTCAGTCAATAAATGCCTGGCTGGGTACAGATAGCAGATTCTGTTGCGATTTTTATGCCTGCACTTTATGCCAGGAACTGGCAGCTTCTGCTGTGTATTTTTTATGCCCGCACACTCACTCTCTCCTCTGCTCTGCCACCCAAACAACCACATCAGATGTCGGACTATAGGTCACGCCTCCTGAATCTCGCGTGACTTGTTATCTATGCGCATGCGTAATAGATAGCAAGTACTGCGGCCGGCGAGATCACAAGCCTATGTCACCGCGCGTCATTGTGATGGAACGCAGTGGAGTGCAGTGATGACAGCGCGGTGCGGGCCACATTGCAAGGCCTGGCGGGCCGGATTTGGCCCGCGGGCCTTGTGTTTGACAAGTGTGGGATAGAGCGTCATCCTGCGGACTGAAAGGTCCCGGGTTCAATTCTGGTCAAGGGCATGTACCTTGGTTGTGGGCACATCCCCAGTAGGAGGTGTGCAAGAGGCAGCTGATCGATGATTCTCTCTCATCGATGTTTCTAACTCTCTATCCCTCTCCTTTCCTCTCTGTAAAAAAAAATCAATAAAATATATTAAAAGAAAATATGCCAAAAGTGGGTTTATCTCTCAAGGCAAACTCCGATTAAATAGGTTCACAGAGTCTGATCTATGAACCAGAGTGCCAAGTTACCAATTTACAATGAGAAATTTTAAATTATAGAGACCTAAATTAGTAAGTCGATGTGACTTACATATTTTCTCCCAATGGGACGACTTACATCTTTATTCCTTTGTTGAAAATCTATATTTTTATTTATTTCAGAGAGGAAGAAAGAAGGAGAGAGATAGAGATATCAATGATGAGAGAGAATCACTGATGGGCTTCCTCCTACACACCCCACACTACGGATTGAACCCACCACCCGGCATGTGGCCTGACCGGGAATCAAGCCCATGATCTCCTGGTTTATAGGCTGATGCTCAACCACTGAACCACACCAGCCAGGCATATCTTCATTCCTTGAAGGAAGAAAAGGGAAAGGCAAAGGGCACAATGTGTGTGTCAGCTGAGACTGCCTATACCTCTACCTTTTAAAGTGCTTATATAGTGTCACCCAATACTGTGTCACATGCCCAACTAATCTGTAAGTTGGACTGAGAAATATGAGTTTGGGTTGGACTCACTGCCACTTACAAATAAACCAGAATTCTTCTTAGACATAAGGGATAATGAATATCAGACAGCCAGACAGGCAAAGGTCAATCTCTTCACACACAAAAATACCCCAGAGAAATAGGAGAGAAGGGACCTAGGAATCATGCAATCTATCAAGGAGAATATTGAAGATTTTCCATATTAACGTCAGTGAAGGGAAGTCTCATGATAAAATTAGTGCGAAATGAGCAAAGATTCCTGGAACAAATGCAACCTATTATTCAATCTGTTTGTCAATGCTGAAAACAGATATGCAGCTGTGTGGAGATTTGGGATTAATTAGTGAAAGGTACTGAACACTAAGCAAGTAAAAATGAAGATAATTATTACTAAAGAAATATAACAGTCTTTCAAGCCATAAAATGTTGTAGGGACATCTGGAGATACAGCAGAAGTGACGTAATTTTTGAATTCCTACATTAAAATAGAGAAACAAAATAGTAAACTAAAAACTGTTAGCATTTACAACAAACTCGGTGATAAATTATTCCCACTTGCCCTAAAATACAAGTAGCTATAAAGCTTCTAAAAGAAAACATAGGAGAAAATCTGCAATCTTTTGACAGACAAAGAATTTTTATATAACACAAAAACATGAACCATAAAAGAAAAAAAATGATACACTTGACTTCATCAAAATTAAAATATTTAACTCTTGAAGACACACCATTAAGAAAAGGCAATCTATAGATTGGGAGAATATATGTATAACACAATATATATCTGACAAAGGACTTAGGCCCAGAATATGTCTGTCTTGTTTATCAGTACTGCCTTATTTTCAATATCTTTATTATGCCCTACTCTTTCACCAGAAGTTGATGGAGATAATATTGTATTAGAAATGTATAACAAATAAGAATGGAATAGTAGGCAGTTGTAAAAAGGGAGGATCTCTTACTCTTGAGATAGCATGGAGGGGCCTGGAGGGTATTATGCTAAACCAAATTGATAGGGGGACGCATAATCTAATAGATAGAGCACCTGAGTTAATCTAAAAGATAATCATATTAGTTTGAAATTCTGAAAAGCATACACATGTGGGAACAGAGGGTTATGTTTTTTTTCTTTTCTAAGTGTCATTTCTCGAGCCAGTGCACCTGGGTACTCCCTTTGATCCTAAACCACGTGATGGAGGAAGTGATTCAACTGCGGACAATGTATTCTGTACCCAACACACAAGCAGAACTGTTAAGCAAGACCAGGCCGACCCTACCAGGAGCCAAGCCGTCATCTCATTGCCTGACAACCAAGAACAATGCATCTGCTGAATTCCGGGACTGCATGCAATTGCATTCTGTTCCCAACCTTACCCCAGCCCATTTTTCCTATATAATCCTGTCCCCTGCACCCTATGGGCAAAACAAGCTTTGGATGCATGTAAGCTCCCTGTCTTCTTGGTTTGCTGGCCTTCTCAATAAATGCCTTATATGATTCAGTCCTGCCTTAGTTATTGGACATTGCTACAGGCAGTCTGAGCCCACCTGGGGGTTTCCTGGCAACAAAATCAGCCAGTCAGAGAAAGACAGGTATCATATGATCTCACTCATATGCAGAATCTAACGAGCAAAATAAACCGATGAACAAAATATGTCCAGCCCAGCTGGCATAGCACAGTGGTTGAGCGTCTATCTATGAACTAGGATTTGATTCCTGGTCGGGGCATATGCCCGGGTTGTGGACTCACCAATGTAAGGCTTGCAGGAGGCAACCAATCAGTAATTCCTTCTCATCATCTCTCCCTTCCTCTCTGAAGTCAATTAAAAAAAAAAAAAAAAAAAAAAAAAATATATATATATATATATATATATATATATATATATATATATTTTTTTTTTTTTTTTTAAAGGTCCAGAGACATAAAAGCATGGAACAGGCAGATGAACCTCCAAGGGAAGGGAGTAGGGGGGATGGGAAAAACTCATCTGTAATAATAAAAGCATGATATGCTAATTAGATCGGACAGCCAAATGACCTTTTGGACATCATTCCAGATGTTTTTCAGTAGAAGCTGTGGGGGCAGGGGCTGAGACAGAGGCAGTTAGGGGCGATCAGGCAGGCAGGTTAGCAGTTAGGAGCCAGCAGTCCCGGATTGTGAGAGGGTGTAGGCTGGGCTCAGGGCCTCCCCCCATGCACAGGTTTTGTGCACCAGGCCTCTAGTCTTAATATATAAAGAGGTAATATGCAAATTAGGCCCAGACACCATAACAGGACAACTAGACAGGAAGAGGGCCCGGGCACGTCCCCGAGCCTGAGAGAACAACATGCAGGCATGGCCCCAAGCCTGAGAGGACAACACACAGGGGCTCCAGCTCCTAGCCTCCGAGGCAGGGCTGGGGGCTAGTCCCCAGTGGACACACACACACACACACACACACTTGAACTGAATGTATTAATCATTGGGTTATCAATTACTTTTGGTTTAAATAAAAATGCAGTCTATTACTGTTAGTTAAATAAAAATGCAGTCTATTACTTGGTTTGTTTGTTTTTTATTTGAGAGAATGGAGTGCTACTCTTATATTGACAGAAAGTATGTTCTGACTCCAGCTTATCCTTGTAAAACTAAACAGAAGTGTCTTCTGTTATCCTGAAAAAATGTAAAATATGAGGGAGTTTCTTAGTGCTAAGAAAGCCTCCCCCCCCGCCCCCACAACCAGGGTTAGAGCAGAAACGAACGTATTCATGAATTAAAAAAGCTTTTCCATTTAACTTTAAATAAAATATTAAATTCCATAGATATATATTTAAAACAACCAAGGAAGATTTTCTTTTATGAATGGAGATAAAACAGACTTCTCAAAACAATTATCTTCAAGTGGATTATCCTATATAATAAAAGTGTAATATGCAAATTGACCGAACAGCGAAACAACTAGTCAGTGAGGGGGCAGGGGCAGGGCAGGTGAGGAGGTGGCGCCAGGTCAGCCAAGGAGCATGTCAGTGGACAGAGGAAGGAGATGGCAATGAGGACGGGGCTATTCCCTAATCAGCTTAGTGACCACCCCCCATCCCCCCCACCCCCACCCCCACCCTGCCTCCCATAGAGGGAGGCCAGACTGAGATAGGCCGGCTCCCTAAGCCATCAGGCAGGCATCCCCTGAGGGCTTCCAGACTGCAAGAGGGTGCAGGCCAGGTGCACCGGGCCTCTAGTAGATAATAAAAATAAACAAAATCTTCTTATTTGAAAGATCTAAAAAGTTAATTGAGAAGACAACAAACTTTCTTTCAGCCCCTTTCAGCTAAAAATGCTGAAGGAAAGGAGGTCTCTTATGTTTCCCAACTTAATTCTTTGCTGACCTTTTCACCAATCCCTTAACCCCAAATAAAAGGTCAGAAGAGTCAAAGTCTCATAAGAATAGATTTTTCGATCTGATAGAAAAAAATGTTGTAAAATATTTTTCTCGGGTGGGTCAGCTGTGGAGGGTGTAGTAGGGGCATTCTCCTTGCAGAGCCGACCGGCTCTGGCGCCCCAGCAGCCGGACTTGGCGTGTTTGTGGTGAATTCTGCTGCAGCTCTTTTGGGGTGGCCGCCAGGCGGGTTGCTCTGCTGACCTCCATCACCTCCTCCTAAAGATGCATCCTGACTTATCTCCACACTTTCACAGTGAAGAATGCAACGCCTTGATTAACTTACTTAAGGAATGCCACAAAAATCACAGCATTCTGAAATTTTTTGGTCATTGCAATGACCTTGATTGGGAGATGAGAAAATGCTTAAAGAATGAGTACATGGAAAAGAAGGACCAAGAGCAGGGAGCTTGGCAATGCGATGCAAAAGAGACTTTCAAATCCTCCAGAGGAATCTGAAACATAAATTATATTATCACTGGATACCTTAGCTGAGAGAAGATCTGAAGACTCTTGGTTGATAAAGCCAAAAGAATCCTATCTCATTTGGTCTCCAGAATCTTTTGAATAGCAAGTGACCCAGAAGAAATACAGAAACGCTGGATTCAGGATATTTGTTGGGCAGAGCCTTTAGTACTCTGATTCCTTTACCAACACACCTGACTTTTAATGTGTTTCTTTACTTTGCCTACAACCATTTCACATTTGAGTAATTTATCACCCTCAATAAAATAATTGACTTTACTCATATTTTCTCTGTTCTTTTAGACTCTACTGGAATTAAAGAGAAATGGTCCCATTAGACTTTTCCTTTTGACAACATGGCAATTCTAGAGCTTAAACATTGAAGATACAAGCTATGGCTCAGTGGTTAAGCGTCAACCTGTGTATCAGAAGTCATGGTTTGTTCCAGGTCAAGCCATATGCCTGGGTTTTGGGCTCGATCCCCAGTAGGGGGCATGCAGGAGGCAGCCAATAGATGTTTCCCTCTCATTAATGTTTCTATTTCTCCCTCCCTCTTCCTTCCTCTTTCTGAAATAAATAATAACATCAAATAAAAAAGATACAAGCTAAGGCAAAAAGAGTTTGAGGAAATTTCTAGCTGTGTTAACTATATGAAAATGTTGCAACTTCATTGTTCTTAAAAGAGCCGTTTTCGAAAAGATTGAGTGCTTAACATTGATAAAATTACTTCTAGTTAGAATTGAAGTCTTGGTGGACTTTGGTTCTTGTTTGGTTGGATGTGCCCATCTGGATGCCAGTTAACTCCTGGGCATTAACCTTAGGCCAACATGCCTACTCCCGCTGGGTACAGGGCTCTTCTTCCCAAACTCACCTTTTAGCAGCATTCTTTCTGCCTGGTGTTCCTGAGACCTGTGAGAATCTGAAAGTCAGCAACATCCAGCCACATGACAGCATGGCTTGATCTTGTCAGATAAATTGTCAACCGACTGAACTATGAGCTCCTTCTATTGAAATCGTTATGTGTGTTCAGCATGAGGCCTTGTTGGTGTCAGTGTTGAATAAGTGATTTCCACATCACAAGAGGTGTTCAAGAGGCTAGACATTCATTCACTTCGTGAGGTGGTTATGTGGAAGGTAGTTACACAGACATGAGCAGAGCAAGAATGATAGGCCAGGTACAGAAGATCAGCAGGATGGAAAGCCCCAAGCGCCTAGCAGCGGACACTTGTAAGGTGGGACCTCACCCCCAGGGGGACTTTTCTTCCCCTAGAATATCTCTGATCATGAAGTTTGGACTCCCTGACATTCGCTCCCTAGAGATAATATCTAGGCCTCAGCAATATTCCAGCTCCAGGTCCAGAAAGCAGCAAAATCAGACCAGTGCCCCCATGGCTGCTCTCAGGACCAGCTGCATTGGATGATGACCCCCTGCCCTGGTGCCAGCCATTCAATCAATGGAGACCACAACCCTGAAAGGACACACCTGGAAAACTGCTGAATATTCTGTTGAGATCTTTCCCTGGAACATCCCCTAAAATTTCCACCCTTAAAACCCTTAGGACGTAGGACCCAGTTCGCTCACGCCTTCCCTCCAAGGGCCCTTCCTTTACCTCTGTAATTTGTTTCCTAAGTCCATTTCTTTTAGGAATTGTTTGTTCTACCTTTGACTTACCAAATAAATGTTCTTTTATCATTTGGAAAAAAAATTTTTTTTTCTCACCAAAACAGTTTAATCTAAATGAGGACTGAGTAATACAAACTCAGCATCACACGTACTCCCCGTTTATTCATTTCCTGTGCCTTACAACATCTTACACAATAGCACTCATTCCTCTCTTATGTTAATTCTGTGGTTTGGTGTGTATTCCCACCAATAAGACTCTGATAACCAAATATTCACTTATGTAGCCTGTCAGCATTTTATTATTTTACGTATGTGTTAATTTTCTTTTTTTACAAAAAAATTCAAACATATACTGAGTGGCCAGATTATTATGATCTCTGAGCACATAATAATCTGGCTACTCAGTGTGTGTGTGTGTGTGTGTGTGTGTGTGTGTGTGTGTGTGTATAGAGAGAGAGAGGCCTGGTGATGAATTTGTGCATGGTGGGGTATGGCCAGCCTGTCCACAGGTAGGGTACATGGACCATTGGCCGGCCTGCCTGCTGGTCAAACTCCTGATCAAGGGGACAATTAGCATATTAGCCTTTTATTATATAGGATATACACTGAGTGGCCAGATTATTATGCATTCAGAGATCATAATAATCTGGCCACTCAGTGTATACAAAAATAAAAAAGATCACCTTGTTTTTAACAATTATCACATAGTCATCTTATTTCTTCTGTGGCACCACCCATTTCTCACTACCACCTTCTGCCTCAGATTCTTTTGAAGCAACTTGTTTCAAGTATAGGTTTCCCCACCAAGTACAGTGTTCCTATGAAAACTTTTTCAAAAATATTTTTTTATTTCTTGATTTTAAGGAGAAAAAGGAAGGAAGGTGGAAGAGAAAGAGAGAGGGAGAGAGAGAGAGAGAGAGAGAGAGAGAGAGAGAGAGAGACCCATTTGTTGTTCCACTTACTTATGCATTCATTAGTTGCTTCTAGTATGTGCCCTCA